TTTTGAAATGTAAGCACAAGGATTATAAATTTCTCTTGGGTAATTCAGATGCACACCTCCTTGCTACAGAACTTGTCTTTGTTTGTATTAAATGAACAGGATCTTCTAAAGGCTGATAGCATAGGTTTTTCCTTCCTTTTTTCTTTTGGCCATAAACTAGGAATGGCCTCAATAGACTCTTACTAGACCATAGTCTAAAACCTAGTGCTAAAATAAGAATCAGCAATGTTCTGCAAAGTTTAATTGGTTATGTGCAATAACTGCACTCAGCAGGTCACTTCCTGTGGTTATACTTGGGGACGCGCTGCAAATAACTCATCCTGGAGAGTTCATTAGGAAGCTGCTTTGCTTGAAGCCAGATATTTCACAGCAGCATTACTGAGACATTTTTCTCTCAATACCTCTGCGAACAGCTATGCTGTAGCTTGAGCACTCACTTAGAAGTCTTTCTAGGCCAAACTGTTCCTATGTTGATGGTGTGGAATGCGAGGCTTGGGCAGCCCCTCTCGGGGCTGGTGTTTCCAGGATATGTAGGATCTGCAGCCTCACTGGTGCACATCTGCCACAGGGTAATGGAGGAGCCATTGACAGAGGCAGGCAGGGCCAAGCTGCTAGCAGAAAAGGTGAAAAGTGGAGTAGGCTGTTGCCAGCCCTGGGCATAATGGGGTGAAGGAACCTCACAGGTACTCTGGGTGGCAGCTGTGCTACTTACAGAGGAGCAGAGATGCTGCCACCCACAGCCCTCGGGTGGGGAGAGGGGAGTGAGCCCCTCCTGACTCATGTTCCCAGTGGCCCTGACACGAGGGGCCCACAGCCCCAATATGGTGGCCAACAGGAGGGAGCAGAGCCAGCACCTGCGGCCTGTTAGTCAGCCTCACTGGGAGGGCGGGCAGGCACGGGAGCTGGGGTGTGGCACCTTCACATGAGGCGGGAGGTCTCAGCTTTCACCCTGAGCGACCAACCTCAGTGTGGGCCTGAGATGCAGCATCCCGGCCTTGGGCCCTGAGAGAGAGTGGCACCGTGGCTGGCTTCTCCAGCCTTTCCGGTGCCCGTGTGAGAGACCAGCGAGAGCACTGGAGATGTGTGGACTCGCACCCCCCTCACAGTGTCTGATGCGTCACTGCCCTGTTGGTTCCCAGCCGTGAGCCTCACTGTGTCGCTCCAGTCAGGTTCTGATTCCGTTGTTGCCACGCCGTGGGGATGCAGTGCTTTTCCTGGCAGGAAAATGACCTGAAGCCTGGGTTTGATGCCCAGCACTGCCGGGCGGGGTCTTTGTATCTTTTGTGCATCTTTTGTGTTGAGGACCAAGCCCAGGGTCTCACCCATGCCAAGTGGTGCCCTTCCTCTGAGCTGCAGCCTGGTCAGCACCTTTTGTGAGCCCTGGGAGTAGTCTCTCTATGGAGCTGGTCCCCTTTCCTTTATGGACCCTGCAATTCTGTCATAACTGATTTATTTCGCTTGTCACTTGAGATTCTGGAAAACCTAGATCCAAAATTTCAAGCCAGCAAGTTTGGATCTTTGGAGCCCTTGTGTTGTGCTTTGTGTTTCCTGATTTTTTGCTCTCATCTAGTTTTAAATATCTTACATATATTTAGTAAACCACCTGTGTTAGTCAGCTTTCCTTTTCTGTAACAAAATACATAAGAGAACCAATCTGTGACGAGGAAGGGTTTGTTTGGCTCATGGTTCCGAGGTTGGCCATGGCTGGTGATCCCCTTCTCTCGGCCTGTGTCAAGGCAGCGCTTCATGGCAGGGACGTGTGAGGCCCAACCTGCTCACCTCAGGACCAGGGGTGTGAGGAAGAGCGAAGAGGATGGCTGGTTTCCCACAGTTCCCTTCAGGGGACCCCAGAGACCCAAGGCTTGCCACCTCTCAAGCTTCCATAACCTCCCAGGACAACCTTAACCCAGGGACTTGGGATCACTCAAGGTCCAGATTCAAGGACCATGCACCACGATTTCTCATAGAGTAGAAGACTATGCACCCATGAATTTGGGTGCATCCATCACAGTGACAAAATACCCAGGAAGTCAACTTAAAGAAGTCTAGTGTGGCTCGGGTCTTGAAGGTTCAGTCCGTGGCGGCTGTGGCCTGAATCAGCACAACATGGAGAGGTGTGCAGCGGAGAGCGCTGCTCGGCTCATGGTGGCTGGAAGCAGCGGGAGGTGGGCGCGGCCGGCCTGAATCCCTCCGGGACAGTCCTGTGGCCTGCTTCCTCCAGCCTCAAAGAGGGGAAGCTGGCTTGAGCATTGCTGCACCCTGCGCACGACACCTTCAGTCCGATGAAGGACCCACATTCCGGGAGCCGTCCACGCTTCTCTCTGCCTGAGTCTGCAGTGTCTTGAGTGAGTGCAGGGTAAGGGGGCAGGAAAGCCACCTGGCTTTCCTCTCGTGGTGACCGCAGCTACCCCCGCAGTGCCTGGCCCAGCAGATGCTCAGTGCTCATTGGAATGGATAACGTGGCTCCTTGGGGAAGGTTTTGGGGTGCTGGGCATGCACGCCCCAGATCTCATACAGCTGGCCCTGGGGACACAGGCCCACGTACTGGGAGAGGCTTTGCTCACCCCAGAACAGAGGCTACTGGCACCGGAAGGAGAGAGGCAGAGGTTGCAACCCCCAAAGGTGCTAGGAAGTCTCCAGGCTCTATGAGGCAGATATGGCACCTGCCGCCTGGTGCTGAGAGCCAGGGACAACAGGGCAGAGCCAGCTGGGGGGAGCAGGGGCCGAGCCTGGGGCTGGCAGCCAGTCAGTGGGGTTTCTCACTTCTCGCCTGTGGCACTGGGGGCTGGTGGGGCCCAATAGAGCAGATGCGATGCAGCTGCTGCTCCCCCATGCCTTTGTGGCCTGTGCTGTCCACAGTGGCTGCGTCACCCATGCATTGAGAAGCCAGCAGAACACAGGCCTTCTGTCATCCTCCCTGTCTGGCTGTCACCCTGACCCAGAGGCCTCCCTGCCATCTGCTCCCTGGGCTTAGGCCTGAGATATGGGATACAGGCTGCTTTGCTCTGTTACCTGAGGGGTGAGGACAGCGATGGCAGAGCCTGCCCAGCAGGTGACAAGCCAGTGTCCTGTGCCCTCACCGCATGGGGCTCCAGCGGCCTCCAACCTGGGCACCGTGGACTGTGCCCTCTGGCCCATTGCCTGGCACTTCGTGCCTGCTCCAGGGCCCTGCTGATGACTCCCTTCCTGGACCTTCTTCCCAGGGCTCCCCGTTGGGCTCCTGGCCAGGCAGATCCTGTAGCTGCATGACAGCTTTTAGGGGGGCTCCCAGGCCCCCTCCCATGAGCCACCGTTTTCTCAGGTTTCTCATCAATTTGTTCAGCACCTCCTGTACTCCTGCCCTGACTGTGACCTCTCTGCTGTGTCCCAGAACTACATGCAGTGCCAGCACATCCTGGGGACCTCTTCTTACCCTTTTGGGGCATGATGGGGGGCACCCGCCAACTCAGGGCTCAGATGGGAGTCTGGTGGGCCTCGGGGCCACTCCTGGATCCTGAGAGCAGCCTTCAGCTCTCAGGCTGGAGGAGGTGGGGCTCGGGCTGCAGGGACCGGGCTCAGTGTGTCTGGGCTGAGCAGAGCACCTGACAGGGACCCCAGGCCTTCAGGTAATGAAGCTTGGTTCAAAGCCAGCATGTGGCATGGCCACAGGAAGTGGGTGTAGGATGGACTACCTGAGGCGAGGCTGCCGGACGGAGGAGGATTGTGCTCTCCCTCTGTGCCACAAACCTTGCCTTGGGTCTGGTGCTGGTGCTGACTCACACTGCAGGGTAGGTGTTCCACCTGGCGTGTCGGCGAGGACAGTTGGGTTGGGGAGGCATTTAGCTCTCCTTTGTGTGAATAATAGCCGGGGACACTTATTGTGGGAAAGAAAGAGGAGCTGGGGTCTCAGTGGCTCCTTGGGGCACAGGGATGGGGCTGGTTTGTAGAGCTATCTGCAGTGGCAAAAATGGTTTATACCTGGGCTACTTGACAGCTAGCAGACAGACGTAGGTATTTTAGCAATTAAAATATGACTATGAACTGAAATTGAATAAAATTTAAGAATAAGTAGCCACATCTGGCCAGTGGCTGTTGTCTTGGCCAGTGCAGCTCTAGAGATCAAAATAAGACTAGGCAGGGGTCAGCAGGTTCTTCCTGTGGGAGGCACAATAGTAGGTGACTTGGGTCTTTGTGGGGCCTGGGATCTTAGTTTCACCCCTGCATGCTGAGGCAGTGCAGATGAAAGAAGGAACTGGACTGTGTTCCAGGAGGAGCTTACAGATTTTGAAATCTGCAATAGTATCATTTTCGCCTGTCACAAAACTCTTCTTCTTTGGATTTGTCCCATTTTCTTAAAACATGGAAACCATGAAAGGGCTGGAGTGCCTTCTGCTCAGCTCCTCTGTGGGTGGTGATGCCCATTCTGTGGCTGCAGAAGGCCACCATTCTCCCCTCGGGCATGTGGGGAAACCGCTGGCCCCTGGGCAGTGTGGAGGCTGTGCCTGTAAGGATGCAGAGTCCTGGGGACTAAGCTTCGAGGAGCTGACCAGCCGCCCTGGTGCTCATCCAGAGCTTTGGCCGCTCATCTTCTGATCAGCTCTGCTTCCTTATTCGCCCTTTCGCCCTTTCTCCTGTCTTTCCTGTCTCCTCTGTTCTACTTCTAATTAGCTTCTGTGCCAAAACACATAAGCATAAAAAATAAACACGCCTTCCTGCCTTCTAGGAGAGGCTGAAAGTGCTGATTTGATGTTTTACGTTTTTGTGCCTTGAAATCCCAACCTTTACCACAGACTCCTCCACATTGTTGGAAAGAACAGATGAATTAAAGAAAGTTACAGGGAGACTGTAAGCCTACACAGCAGAAGGAAGGTGGTCACCAACCCACGCGCCCATCTCCAGCGTTGGCTCCTGACCAGGCCATGCCACCACTGTGCTCCCTCCCTGCTGTGCCTCTTTGAAGCCGTGACCCGGGGTGTGGACTTGCGTGGGACCACCATCCTGATTCTGTGTTTCTGTTGCAGATCATTGCCTTTGATGAGCTCAGGACGGACTTTAAGAGCCCCATAGACCAGTGCAACCCTGTTCACGCAGTAAGTAGGAGTGCTGGGGACAGGAAGGCGGTGTCACCCGGGCTTGTGAAGGACAGTAGGTATGAGGGAAGGGCAAAATTGCCCCTCACCTGGCTCAGATTGCTGAGAAGCATCCTGCCCTGGAGGCTGCTGGGGTCTGAGACCTCTTACAGGTCAAGGTCCCCATAACCTGAGGGGAGGGTCTGCTGCACAGTTCCCAAGACCCGATGCCAATGTCTTTTGGTTCTTGTCACTGATGAAAAGAGGCCCCATGTGGCCTGCACACTTTCAGGTGATGTGTGCCCCGTACCTGGTGCCAGGTTTCTGTGGAGGGTGGGGAGTGCACAGAGCTCCTGGTCCCCTGTCCCCAGCGTGTGTTCCTGTCAGGCAGCTCTGCGGCCTGAGGCCAGCTCGCCTCCCTTATGGAAGCTGACGTGGTGTGGTGGACATGGTTGAGGTTCTGTCTTCCTGACTGGCTGGTCCTGCATGCCGCCCTCCCACTGTCCTGGCTTTGTCCCTAACTCGTGGAGGGAGATGGGGATGGGGACATCATTTCTTATGAGGGGACAGTGGGCGTTGGCTGTTTGCTTCTGTGGTCAGTGTAGCCCATGTTCCAGGCCAGCACCAGCCCTCAGAGAAAGCCTTAGGCAGGGCTTCCTGAAGCAAGGAGCTCACACAGGGCGTCCACCTGGGCTCACGGCCGCATTCCTTGGGCTGTGTTGAGTGTGGTCCTCTGCTCGTGGTTCCTGACTATCTAAGGAGCCCTGTGGGTGTACAGAGAACGAGGGCCCTGCCAGCACGATGCCGTCCTACCCTGACAGCAGCACTCGTTAGGACAGGGCCAGTAAGGCTTCTCCAAAGCTGTAGCCCCTGGAGAAGGAAGTGCTCTTGAGGGGGCTCCAGAGGCCATGTGGTGGGACCAGGTTTCCATGTCCCTCCCTGAAAAGTAGAGTTAGCACAGAGCTGTGACTTTGCTTTAATTTGTGCTGTATGCTAGGAACTTTGAATTCATCACCTGTGATCCTTACTTCAGCCCTACCCGACAGGCTATTACCCAACCTGCAGCTCACAGAATGGTGCCTCTTGCCCAGCGGCACCAAACCAAGAGAGGGACTCGATCCTCTGCTGCCTGTCTCCCATACCTGTGTTCTGACCACCTACACAGGACCACTCTTCAGAGACTAGATTTTACAACATCTGAGGCCCTCTTTGAGTCTAGTCTTTGATTTTACTAAACAGAGCCAAATCCTTCCCTGTCAACTGTGTAGAGCGAGTTGAAAGTACTCTGAAGGTCCACTCCAAATCTCAGTGTATTGTACCAAGGCTGTAAGCACTAAAATCTGCGTGGCTGCCCTCTGCCAGCCTGAATTGATATTTGTAGTGTGAAAGGACTTGGTCCCATTTTTCGGGCTTGGCACCAGACCTGAACTCCTGGCGTGTGACCCCTGCCAAGTGGCAGAGCAGCCCTGGCTCAGAGAGAGTGCCTCCATTTCAGGATGCAGGGAGCCAGGGGCCCCTTCCCCTATCTCCTGGGCTCACAGCAGAGGCAGCCTACCCGGTACTTTCTGGTTTGATCCAGAGTGACTGCTGGTGAGGGTGCCCAGGAGTGGTGAAACCTTGTTGTTTCCGTCCCTATGTCGCCATGGCTGGTCCCTAGAGTACAGGACCAGGAGATCTGGGGCTGCTGTGAAAGGCCGGTGTGAGCACAGAGCTGCAGCCACTGGGAGTGCAGGAATTCTGCTCATGGAACGCAGAAGCCCTGGAGGACCAAGTTGTATAGCAGAGTGGCGGGATGTCACTCTCATTTTTCCCTCCTTTGCCGTGCTGGGGATGGGGCCCAGGGCCTTGTGCGTGCTGAGCCAGGGCTCCACTGCCTGGCTCTGCCCCAGCCGTGTTTTAAAGGCCCCATCGCCCTTGCCCTTCAGGCTTGTTGGCTCCTTAGAGGGCCTGGGCCTTCTGCAGCCAAATGTCTGGGGACAGAAGAAAGCCTGGGTGCTCCTGGGAACATCAGAACCCTAAACAGGAGAGTGCAGTCCCCAGCTCTTAGGTGTTGCTCCCGGTGGCAGTGAGACACTCTGGGCCACATTGGCCTCCACAGGGCTCTGGGGTTGGAGAGAGTCCTTGGCCCTGGGAGAGGCTGATCACAAATGCTTCTGACCTGCAGTTTGCATTTCCCAGTGAGCCTTGTTGGATCCTCTTTCCTTTTTTTTCTGTGCTTGGGATTGACCCTGGGACTTCATGCGTGGCAGGCGGTTACCTCATCCCTCATCCTGGTTCCCATTTAGATTTAGGGTGCACTGAAGTTCCAAATAGCCCCGGTCCCTCTCCCGAAGGGCTGGGCAGAAGGGGGGTCCTCTCTTCTCCACTCCCTTTGTCTTGCCAGCTTACCTAGTGCTAAGGCAGGGAGGCGCAGTTCCTCAGGGTGCTGGCTTGCTGGAGAAGGAGCGGTGCGTCTCCTAGTGTGCTCTTCATGTCTGCACATGCATGTGCCTGCTTGCCTTCGCGTGTGCATGTGTTTTGAGGAGGGTGAGCCTGTCTTTCGGTTCCGTGGATGTTACTTGTCTTGCTTCTCGGGCTTGGGTTCTGTTCCTCTCCTGCTAAACTGGGCTCCCCTCAACTCTGCTCTTTCCTCCACAGAGGGAGCGGCTGAGGAACATCGAACGCATCTGCTTCCTTCTGCGCAAGGTCAGTGGGGTGTGGGGAGCTGGACTCAGGGCCGGGCCCAGGCTGGGCGTCTGCTGCAGGCCTGGCCTTGCTCCAGGAGCTGATAAACAGGCTCCAGAGTCGGGAGGATGCTGACGTTGACAGTGATGGCTGCTGCCAGGGTTCATGGCTGGCGCTGAGCTCAGGATGTGCACTCCTGACTTCCAATGCTGGGTGCCCATGGAGTGTCCCACCGGGCAGTCAGCTCTGTAGTGCAGGCCTGTGGGGTGTCGGGCCAGGTGGACACGTGAGAGCTCTGTGTATCCATGGCACAGGCTGTTGTTTAGCTCATGCTGCACCATTCTGCAGTCAGGAAGGCGTGGCCACAACCCTGGGTATACAAGGACTTGGGGAAAATAAGCAGCACCTACGGCTTCTATCCTGAGGTCGTCCCTGACCTCCAGGCCACACAGAAGTCACCTGCTACCAACAGCGTTTGAGTAGAGAAACCAAGGGTTAACCCAGTACCAACAGCAGGGGACACCATCACCAGGTTTTGAGTTCTTTGCTGACTTTCTTTCTACGTCTCTGTTTTTGTTAGTGTATATTTGCCATACATAAACTCATGGTGGGAATCGGTGTGTGTACTTATCGCATCCTGGCCCTCTGCTGCGTTTCAGCAATGCTCCCTTTCACTGGGAGAGAGAGCTTAATCAAGGTGCCAGTCCGTCCTCTGCTGTGTTCTGAGAAGTGCAATGTGCTGGACTCCACGTCTTGCCGGGCATAGCAGGGACCTGAGTCCTGACGAGACGCACGTGTGAAAATGGGTCTGAGCTGCAGAGGACTCAGAGAATGATGCACACCTTGAGTGTTTGTAGCTCTTCGGCTCCCAGCTGCAGCCCTGGGCTTCCTTATGCCTGACCACTGCGTGGCTCACATGACCAGGATGAAGTCCAGGCTCGGCTCGGCCTCCACCTCGCCCTATGAGCTCCTGCCCAGGGATGCACCCAGTGTCTATGTGTTCAGCCCTGTTCACCCCAGCCCCTGCTCCTCCGGGGCTCTAGCTGGCAGCACAAAGGCCCAGGCTGCCTGTGCCTGGCCCAGTGTCCCTGTCGTCACACTGCCCAGCTCCCCAAGGTGAGAGCCGAGGGTGGGAAATTGAATCAGCTCAGCGCTGGGGTTTGCAAACAGATGTGAGTCTCCTCCATAAGCAGCGGGCAGCAGTGTCTCCTCCCAGGAACGCCGTGCTTGGCACCTGTTCCTGTGCTTGATGTTTTCTCTGCGCAGGCTGCTCCCTGCCCAGCCCCTGCCTGTTCTGTCACTGACACTGCTCTAGATGGATGTACGTCAGGGTGTGAGTGCCATGGCCACATGGCCAGCCCCTCACAGCCTCAGCGCTCTCTGGATCGGGGTGCCCAGCGCCCCGACTGACTTGAGGCAGCACAAGCCCCATGTCACAGCTGTGCTCTGTCCAGGGCTCTCCCTGGCTGGAAGCCAGTATGGCCCTGAGCACTGGGCTGGGCACCCTCCTGCATCAGCCGGTCCTGGGCGCCTGAGTCCACATCCTGTGTCAACGCAGCTGCGTGCCATCTGGGTTGTCGGCACTGTCAGGCCCGTGCTGCAATTAGCATCCTCCAGCTTGCTTGGGGAGCTCTGTGCCATGCTGGGGTGGACGCTCAGGTCCTGGCGTGTGGCCTGTCCCCTCCACTGGGCTTACTACTGTTACGTCAGTGACTTTGTGCTGCACCCGCAGAGCTAGGGACACAGACTGCAGCGAGGTGGCCTATAGAGGGCGCTGAGGAGCTCATAAATATTTGCTGTGCACTTGAAGGGCCCCCACTTCTTCAGTCTGAGCCCTCTGGTTGGGACCCTGGGGTGGTAGGGAGCTTCTCACTTTATTCTAATGGTGCCTGGGAGGCCACCAGGATTTACATTTTTACTACGTTGACTCTTTAATAAGTCTGGATTTTAAATCAGGTTTAGCTCAGAGTCATAATCATTTCTGACATGAGACACCTCCAGCCCAGGTTCTCCTGTTCCTCCCTGCCCTCCCACAGTCTGAATTTCATCTTCCCAGTCCCCTCTAGCTCTGGGTGCCTGTCCTGCAGAGAGCAAAAGGGTTCAGCTAAGGTGTGCAACCTCATCCCCCTTGCCAGCTGCTACCATTGCCCCATGTTCCAGGGGCAGAACTGGGAGTGCCCTACCGGAGCTACAGCCCAGCCCTTTTCAGTTTTTCTTTGAAGACAGGGTCTCATTAAGTCACCCAGGCTGGCACTGAACTTGCAAATCTCCTGCCTCGGCCTCCTGAGTCTGGGATTATAAGTGTGCGACCCTGTAGCTGGCGATACTAAATGTCCCCATCACATCCCAACCTTTGCTCCTGCCTGAGGCTTCCCCACACCCCACTCTGCCCTGGCTCTGAGCCAGGCTGAGGTGCCCTGGGCTGTGGCACCCCCCCTTGGCACCCTCTCCTCCCTGACGTGACAGCCTTTGGCCCACACACCAGGCCTCCGCCCCTCTCTCATGGGGTTCTGGTCCTCAAGCTGTGAGCATGTGGATTCACGGGTCTGGTTAGCATCACCACCTTTCAGGAAATGTCTCAGAACTGGTCTCCCAGCTCTGGCGGTGATGGTCGCTCTTGGGAGAAGGGAAAGGGTCTCGGAGTGGATCATCCTCTAGTTCTCAGAGACGGTGTCTTCTGAGACTGTCTGCATGGCAGGGTGCTGGTGTGGATGTGTGCTCATGACTCAGCTTCTGTGTCTAGGGCCCCTGACTTCTTGTGCAGCTGTCCCCACCAGGTTGTCACAGGCTGGAGGCCAACACAGCCCCAAGTTGGGCAGACGGACGCTCGAGGGTGTGATGGCCCTGACTCTACCCTAAGCCCAGTCCTAACCCAGGTTCCAGGGTGGCTGGAGGACGAGGTTTGCATGTGGGCCCAGAGACTTCATGAGAATAGAGAAACCTGCTTCTCAGATGGTGGCTGTCAGCCTGAGCTTTGTCTTCTGGGGGACAGGAAGTGTTCATGCCTTAGACCCTGGGCACAAGTGAAGGCTGAGCCAGCTGAGTTGGACTGAGCCTGTCGGGTGGAGTGAGTGTCGGGCCTGCGACATCCCTAAGGACAGTGGTGGACTCCCCAGTCCAGGTCACGACTCCCCAAGTGTGTCCCGGTCCCAGTTGGTTTCCAGCACTGGTGGACAGAAGAGGTCCTCAGGCCCCTTGCTATGGTGGGGTGGGCTGGGTGGCAGGGTCTGAGCTCCCTGAGGAGCAGGGAGAGGCAGTGGGGCTCCAGGGTGAACTCCGGGAAGACCATGGGGGTCTGGCTGATGCACATGCCTCCTTCTGCCCAGCCACAGCCCTGTGGGCAGCAGCCAGGTCTAGGCAGGAATCCTGCCCTGGGGATCCAGATCAGGGCTGAGCTGGAATGCTAGAAGTAGGCCTGGCTCACAGGAAGATCGTGTTACTCTTCCCTCCCATATCCGAGGAAGGTGACCATGTAGGGCCCCACGAAAATATCATCAGGAATTTCAAGAAGCTGACCATGGATTTCAACCAGGGCTGGATTCCTTCCAAGCCCAGGCCTGAGATCTCACAGGTCATCCAGCCTGATGCTGGCCCTGCCACGTCCACAATCTTCACCATGTGACCCTGCGTTCTACCTGACCCAGAGTGCAGCTCCTGCCACTGCTGTGCGTACGAGGCCCTAAAACCATGGAGCCCGATGAGAGCCCAGCGGGGACTCCCCAGGCCCTGTAGATGTGTGAGGAGGCATAAACCGATGTTACTTTAAGGCATGGATTTGGAGTGATTTATTATAAGACACAGCTCTACTGTGGCAAGAGTTGTATTAGCTAGCCTTCCATCACGGTAACAAACCACCTTAGGCCATTGGCTTAAGGTCAAGTGACAGCAGGTACAGCAGGAGCTCATGGGGAGCATTCACTCACCTTGTGAGCCAGGAGATGAGTGAGGAGGAAGAGGCTGGGTCCCACAGCCCCTGGAGTCACCCCAGCGACCCCCCACCAGACCTTACCTCCTACAGGTCCCATGCTGGGGTGAAGCCTTTAGTGGGCGTTGGGGCCCTCAGCCCCCAGACTCTGTAGCCTGCTCATGTAAGGAGGATCTTCCATTCTAAGCGGTGTTATTCTGTGCCAGAGTCCAGACTTGCTGGTTCTACAGACTTGCAGGTAGACAGCTGCAGGCCCTGCCCCACTGTCTGGAGCTGAAGAGGAAGCTGTCAAGTGCATTATGTGCCAGAGCCTCGAGACAGACCAGGGTGCTTCCATGCACACGTCGGCTGCTGTTGACTGTTGGGCAGGATGTGAAGACGGCATGTTCGTGACTGTGGGTGCTCCCGGCACCGGGGACTTGAGCTTGGGTCTTTTCAGCTGTTAATCGCCTTTTTCTGGGCTCTGGAGGAAAGGAGCATTTTCATCAGGGGAGTCATGTGGCGGGGAGGGGTGCAGAGCGGGTTTGTGGGGTGTCTGAGAGACCACTAGATGCAGTTCCAGGTCAGAATTCCCTCGTGGGGGTGAGGTGTTCACATTTACCAAGTGACTGCTGTGTGTCTAAAAGCATGGGCTCTTCCGATCTCCAGAGCAGCCTTGGAACAGACTGGAAATCAAGCCTAATCAGGGCTGAGGCTGTGTGCATGCCCTGGCTATGAAGGCAGGTCTGTGTGGCCAGAGTCCACACCTCTGTCCCCGTGATGGGGACAGGACCAGCTCTTGGTGCTCCGCACACCACTGGCAGGGCCATATAGGATCCTGGAGGCACCTTCCTAGTTCCATTCCAGATCTTGTAGGATCCTTCAGCCCGAAGGGAATGCTCTTGGGAGAGTAAAAACTCCTGGAACAAAACTCAAAATGGTCCAGACACTGCGTGTCACATGTAACTTATTTCCAGACTCTTCCTGCGGCAAACTCCTTGTCAGTGAGCAGGAAAGACTGAACACTTCTCTCGCTGCATGACAGGGGTCCTGGGGGCTGCTGCACTGCAGGCAGAGGGGCCAGCATGGGACGCTAGGGCAGCAGACCCCACACAAA